AATCTTCTCGTCCCTCAACTTTGCAGCAGCGTCAGGATCGGGCAAAGTGTTTTCTTCTTGAACTCGACGCCCGGCTGGGCGCGTGGTATTTGTGATGGGTGGTCCTGGGGCCTAGCTGGCGATCAAAGCGCGAGCGTCTGGTGTGGAGGCCAGGTCCCGCTGACCTCTGGGCCCTGGGCACTGCCCCCGCCCTGCGCCCCCTCTGCTTGAGTCAAGGCGCCTGAGTCCCCACCTGGAGATGTGGTGAGCACGGCTTGGGGCGCAGCGTGGGCCTCTGGGCCGCCCAGCGGTGCCACAGGGAAGCCGAGTAGGCAACACACTCGCTCCTACAGAAACCCTCCAGGAGCCTGACTGGCCCCTGTGGTCCCAGTGGCTGCAGCCTGGCTCTCCCAGAAGAGGCTGTGCAGCGGGGAGGGGGGTGGGGGCTCCTCACCGGCGCCCGATACCTGAGTGTGTGTATGGGGAGGGGGCGGTGTGGAGCTGAGTGGGGGTTCCCTGCACAGGAGCCCTGGCGTCTGGGGTAGGGTAGCAGGGGGAGTGAGAGTGAGCTCAGTGGACACCCCACGTTCTCACCGTCATCCCTGCCCTCAGATAGCCAGTGAGAGGTCACAGCCCTCTGCCTGGGCACTGCATCACCAACTTCTGCCATGTCCACGCCGCCCCCTGCTGGTCAGCACAAGTCAAAGCGAGTGAGGGGCAATTTGCATATTAGGCTTTTATTATAGAGGATGTCCCAGGAAGCTGTCTGGGAAAACTGGCCCCATCTCTGCTTTCAGAGATAAATATGGACCCTTTTACATTCCCCTGTGAGGAGTGGTCCAGCTCCATGTTCTGGTGTTTCTTGGGTCAATTGAATTTTTCTTTAAAAATTCACTCTTCATTTGCACCATCAGATAGGATGGTAAACCTTCCCCCTTTCCAGGCCTCAGGCCACTCTCACTCCTACAGGCACTCATCTTGTCTCCTTTTTCCTCTCCCCTCTCAGGTTCCGAGTTGACTCGTCTGTCCTCGAGGATTAGCCAGCTCTGCCACCGCGTTTGTTCTTGTTTGTTCTGCAAGGATCCATCCTTCTTTATCTGGGCGATTGTTCTTTCCCTGGCTTCTCAGGCGGAGAGCTCAGCTCCCTCAGTTCCAGGCACGATTGTCTCCCAATAAACTGCTGTCACTCCCGCCTGCTCGAGCCCTTGGGTGGTGCCTGTGGGTGTCCAGAGGTGCCGTTCGCGTTTGTGTTCATTTTAAAGTCTGTGATGTCCCTTTCGTTTCCTTCAAACCCCAAATTATACATAAGGGTATTTTTATTTGTGGTATTAGTTCCCAGGTAGAAATATTTTCCAAACTTAGCTTATGTTTTATTAAACTGCACTGGGTTCAGCAAAGATTGTAGATTGTAGACGCACGTGTGTCTGTATGTGTGCAGACATGTGTGTGTGTACATGTGTGCAGATGTCTGTATGTACAGCCTTGGGATGTCTGCCTTTGGAATTCCTGACATGTTCCTTATGGCCAGTAGTTTTTGTGGCTATTTCATGTGTGATTGAAAATAATATAAATTATGTACTTGAATGATACAATACATAGGAAAATAATTTCAAGCTTTTAAAATATATAGTTTTTCAATGATTTCAGAGAGGAAGGAAGAGGGAAAGAGAGAAACATCAATGATGATGATGGAGAATCATGGTTTTCCTGCTTGCCCCCTACTGGGGTTCGAGCCTACAACCAGGACACATGCCCTTGACCAGAATTGAACCCAGGACCCTTCAGGCCAAAGGCTGACACTCTATCCACTGAGCCAAACTGGCTAGAGCAACATCAAGCTTTTTATTGTTTTATTCACTTGTTTTGGAATTTCTTGATTTGTCATCTTAAATGACAACAAAGAGGCTCTATTTTCTGAAGACACTCCCCCACCCAGCTGGGGCTGCGGCTGCGGCTGTGGAATGAAAGGACCAGGGACCAGCAAGGGGATGGACATGCAAGAGGGTCAGTGCAGGCAGCTCAAGGATGAGGCCACCTTTGTCCCCAGAACGGTGCCCCTCTCTCCACAGGCACAGAGGACTCTGGTTTTATGTCCCATCCCATGTAAATCCTGCCGCCCAGGCCCATTGCCATCAGTCCCATGCTGTGGGCCATGGCCCAGGCAAGGGGGAGGCCACGAATCCTACCATGTCTCTGTGCCACCGGACCAGGCTCAGCCACAGGCCCCAGCGACCACGACCCTCCTCTCCTGCTGCCGCAAGCACAGTCCCTCCTGGCAGCCCAGCTGCCCACTCGGCTCCCAGAATAGCCTGTGGTCACAGCCCAGGAGTCAGATGAGTAATCCTGAGGGAAACTCTGCAGAACCCGAGAGGTGTGAGCACCGGGCCCTGAGGGGTGGGCAGGCCCCCTGGCCCCTCTATGTCCGGCAGGAGGGGGTGCGTGGGGGGAGGCAGAAGGGGGTGTTGCAGAGCAAGAGACCCGCCAGTGCACGGGCTGTGCTGCTCCCCCCTCTGGAATGTCCCAGCCCCTTCCTCCCTCCACCCCAACCTCAAGGCTCTCATGTGCTTCTGGGCCCCACCCAGGGTCTGGGCATTTTGGGTCCCAGTGCTCAGAACAGAGTCCCACAGACCTCGGCGTTCCTGTTCCCTAGCGGTCCAGCTTCTGTTCCAGAGTCACTTTCTCAGGGGCCTCCCGCCCCAGGATGTCTGAGTCCCTCCCGGCTGCAGTCTTCCCCACTTCCCATCACCCCGACACAGTGCACACTAGCGTTGGGACACTGCTGTGGGAGGAAAACCCCAGAATTGCTCCCTGGTCTCCAGGGAGCAGCATGTCAGCCCCCAGTGTCCTCCGCGGCCAGCCCTGCCCTGCCCAGCTCTGCCCGACAGCGAGGCCGAGGCCGAGGGGGTTTCTGGTGTGTGTGTGTGTGTGTGTGTGTGAGTGTGCAAGTGTCTGTACACGTACACGTGCGTCAGTGTATCTATGTTAGTGTGCCTGTGCATTGTCTGTGTGTACATTTGTGTGCATCTGTGTGTGTTTGTGTTTTGTATAATAATTTCCATGGATGGATCCATTGGACCATATCGAATTACTCCTCAGACAGAGTATAAAGGAAAGGCCCAGGGTTCTCCATTCTCTGTCCTCCTGTGGGTGTGCCGTTCTCAGAGTCTCTTTCACCAGCATCACCTTAACCTGTGACCGCTGGCTCCGGGCTGGTGTCCCTTCTTTGACCCACCTGCATGGCCTCAGGGCAGAGCTTCAGCAAGGCCTGGGGTGTGAACATAAGAACAGGAGAGCCCCAGCTGGTTTAGCTCAGTGGATAGAGTGTTGGCCTGCGGACTGAAGGGTCCAGGGTTTGATTCCGGTCAAGGGCAGGAGCCCAGGTTGTGGGCTCAATCCACAGTAGGGGGCAGCCAATCCATGATTCTCTCATCATTGGTATTTTCTTTCTCTCTCCCTCTCTGAAATCAATACAAATATATTTAAAGCAAACAAACAAACAAACAAACAAAAAGCAGGAGACAGAGTCTCAGACTGCAATGGCTGCCCAGGAAAAGAGGTGCGTAGAAGGACCCAGTGACATTGTGCGAGGGAGCCATGAAGGGTCATGGGAGAGTCCAAATACCATCTCGGCCCCTACGGTGAGCCCCTGTGGAGCCATACCTGCTGCCCCTGGTGTATGGGATTGGCCCACACACCCACGCTGAGGACACTGCCATGTGGCTGGTGGGGTGTGGAGGCCAGGACCCCCAAGGCTGGGCTGAGTGACCACAGACCTCAGCCCCTCCATGCCAGGTGGCTTGTCTTTGCTCCCCGCCCCCGCCCCCAGGCGGAGTTGCCTCTTGTGCACCCAAAGGGAATGCCAGTAAGCGGGTGGGGGACTCAGCGCCCAGGAAGAAGCTGTCTGCGTCCACCTCCTGGTCAATTCCATCCCTCCTGCACCCCCCCCCCAGTCCAGCCCTCTTGTTCCCCCAGGTGAGCAGGGACTCCCCTTTACTCAGTATCCAGTGGGCCTTGCTGACCTCAGGCACTGGCAGGCGTGAGACTCAGGCGAGTGGCAGGGATAATGCACCCTGAACCCACCAAGGGAAAGCTGAGGTCCTCGCAGGGTGGTGGGGTTCCAGGAGCACAGTGAGCAATGGGGGTGCCTGGTCCCCTATCCCCTCTCCTCTGGCGGGAGAGGCTGTGGCCAGGCGTTATCCACCTGCTTTAGACACTGGTGAGGCCTCCGGGCAGGGAGGGGCCCCTCTTCCTGCCAGGCTCCTGCCTTCCTCCCTGTGACTTTGGGGTGACATTCAGTCACACTCCCCGTGGGGTTGCGGGTCCAGAGGCTGGGTGGGCTCGGGAGAGGCCAGAGATAGCAGTAACGGGCCCTGGGTGTGCGAGCCGATTCTGTGCTTCTGGGAGACAAATGAGGGTGAGACAGACACACACACACACACACACACACACACTGCCCCTCTGAGCAGCACACACCGGGCACCCTCTGTGCCCTGAGAGCCGCTTGGGCTCTGGCGCCGGAGTGAAGTCTCAGGCGCGTCCCCAGAGGGAGGGTGAGGGTGGGGGTGGGAGATTGGGGGGAGGGTAGGGCCCTCCCGGGGCTGGAGGCTCCCCGCCCGGCCAGCGTCCGCTGTGGATTTGGGTAAAAAACCACGCTCCTCCGTTCTTTCCGGCGACAGTCTCACCACCCTTCCCCTCGCCGCGGCGGGGGCGGGGGGCGCAAGGTCGCCGTCTGGCGGCGCAGACGCCCAGCGGCTCCGGGGAGGGACTTGGCCGGGCCTGGCCCCGCGCGGGCGGAGGCGCGGAGCTGAGCTAGCGGCCGGCTCGGGGCGGCCACTGGTCCGGGGCAGCGAGCCGGCCCTGGGCCCGTGGGGACAGCGCGGCGAGGGCACCCGTTCCCGCAGGAGCCAAGCCGCGCTCTGCCTCCGTCCCCTCCGGAGCGGCGTCCTCCGGGCGAACGCGGCGGGAGGCGCCCTCTCCCGCGGGCCCGGCGTTGCAGCGGCATCGGGGCGCGGCCGGGGGTGGAGAGAGGAGAGGGAGCCGAGCGGCCGGGCGGCGGCGACTCGCGGGGCCCGCGGCTCCGCCAATCTGCGGGCGTTGACGCGGGGGGCGGCACCGGGCGTTCGGATATCTGCCCGCCCGGCGCGGGCATCGCGAGGCTCCGCCGTGGGCACTGCACTCGGCTCGGCGCTGCACCTGCCGGGATCGCCCTCCGCTCGGTGTGCCCCCCGCCGCTCCGCCTCCCCTGGATCCCGCCTCCGGGCCGCAGCGAGAGGGCCCAGCCCAGCCCGAAGAGCCGCCTTTCTCCGCCGCCGGCCGGACGCGGCCAGCGGAGCCGGATCGGATTGCCCCTGGTCGCCACCGCCACCCCCAGCGGCGCGCCCAGCAGGCATGGGGCGCCGCTCGGGGCCCCCGCGCGCCGGATGAGCGCGGCGGCGCAGAGCCGGTCACTCGCCTGGGCCCCGGCTCCGCGGACCAGGACCTTGGGATGGCCCGGCCGGCGCGCGCCCGGGCGGTGGGCGCTTCCCACGTGGCGCGGGCCTGCGAGCATCCCCGGAGCGGGTAGCTGCCGGAAGCCGGATGGACCTTGATCCGCGCGGCGCCTGGTCCGTGCCGAGCCGAGCCTAGAGGGCGCCGGGAAGATGATCCAGGTGCGCCGGTTCCGCGTGCTCGTGCTGATGGTGTTCCTCGTGGCCTGCGCGCTGCACATCGCGCTGGACCTGCTGCCGCGGCTGGAGAGGCGCGCGCGGCCTCCGGGGGAGCCCGGCTGCTCCTGCGCGCAGCCCGGGGAGGCGGCGGCCGGCTGGGCCCAGGCGCGCGGCCGCCCCGGGGAGCCCTCCGCCGCCGGGGACCCGGGCTGGCCGCACAAGCACACGCTGCGCATCCTGCAGGACTTCAGCTCCGACCCGGCCTCCAACCTCACTTCCCACTCGCTGGAGAAGCTGCCGCCCGCCGAGCCGGCCGAGGGCGCCGTGCGGGGCCAGGACCCCAGGGTGCCCCGACCCCGCGGCCCAGCGCACCGGCCTCCGCTTCAAGACCCCGGCCCCCGGCGGCCCGCGCCGCCGCCCGGCCCCAGCGGGGACGGCTCGCTCCTGGCCCGGCTGTTCGAACACCCGCTGTACCGGGTGGCCGTGCCCCCGCTGACCGAGGACGACGTCCTCTTCAACGTGAACAGCGACATCAGGTTCAACCCCAAGGCGGCGGCGGCGGAGAACCCCAACTGGTGAGCGGGTCCAGGGCCAGGGGTGGGCGTGGGCAGGCCGGCCCTCGGGCAGCCACGCGCCCTTTGAGAATAAAGACCCACCGGTGCCTTCCTCCTCGCCCCCCCCCCCCCCCCAAAAAAAGGCCCTTCGCGCCCGGGCACTGTGTGCCGAGACCGCGGCCACCCGCCACCCCGCCTCTTGTCCCCGCTGCCTTTGTCTCCGGAAGGGAAGGGGCAAATGTGGAGCTGCTCCTGTCTGCGCCTGGGCTCTGGGCAGGGGAGCCAGAGGGTCCTCCAGGCCCTGGTCCTGGGCTTGGGAAGTGGGCTCAGGCCATGAATGAAGGACGAGGTGCGGGTGGAGGGAGGGAGAGCCCCTCTGTCCCTACCCCTGCCTGGGAGCCAAGCCTGCTCTGTGCAAACTTGTCACTGAGATCTGTTAGCTAGCAGCTGGTGTGCGGGCTCCAGTGGCTAAGGAAGGGCTCTTCCAGTTGCTGTGCCAGTGCCGGCTGCGTGGGGCGGCCGGGGTGACAGCTTCACGGGGTGACAGCTTCAAGAAACCAGGAGAAGCATCGCCAGAAGCATCTCTTTAAACTGTCCTGGTCTAAACCCTCCCCCAAGGCCCTCCTCAGCGGCAAAGAGCAAGCTGAGCAGATGCTGCCAGCAGGGTGGTGAAATATTAACCAGCAGTGCGGCCGAATAACAGCTACCTGGGGAGGTTACTCAAGCCCGGACGGCCAGGAGCCCAGACCTCTCAGAAGAGCCTTCTCCTCGGAAACGTGGCCAGGCGTGTGTGGTGTCTGAACACCCTGCACCCTCCGTGCATGCTTGGGGGCTGTTGGGGGAGAGCCCAGAGCCAGTGGTCGGGGGAGCCCCACCCTTTGTGTCCACTGAGGTGGGGACTTGGGGCAGGTGAGTTAGACCTGGGAGACGAGTCCACCTTTCCCCCAGCCCAGCAGGAAGTGGGGTCCACTCTCCCCAGGCGTGTAAGGACAGCCTCGTGGGTGGCAGGTCCTGCCTCCTTCCTCTCTCTCCACCCACGGCTGCCCTCGTTAAAATAAATTTAGTCGGTTGCGTCAGCCTTAGCCCTGGTTGCTGGAGCCAGAGCAGAGTTCCCAGGGAAAGTTTCTGACGGGCTGGGCGTGTCAGACTTGCACAGTCTGTGGTCAGCGATGAGCTCGGCCTCCCCTGCCCCCGACCCAGGAGCAAGGCCCCTCGCACCCCAAGCTGACTCATGCTGTCTGGCGGCCTTGGTGACCCCAGGACAGACATGCTGGGGCCTCGCGCCGAGCTTTTGGTTGCTTCTGCCTTAGTTACAACTGTCTGTGGGGCTCGGGGTAAGTAGGAATTATGGCCTCCAGAGATGTGATTAGTCCTCAGAACGGCAGCCACAGGAAAACACAGACCTGGCCCGGCCGCTGGCACAGAAGCTGCGTAGGTTCAGAACCAAAGTTATCACCTTGGCGGCAGCGGCTGACCCCCCTGGCTGTCCGCCCGCTCCCTGCTGACTGGGGTCCTTCATCTCTGTAGGCCGCACGCCGGCCCCGAGGGCGAGGACTTCGCACCCACTGGGGAGGCGGCCGTGGACAGCTACCCCAACTGGCTCAAGTTCCACATCGGCATCAACCGGTATGAGCTGTACTCCAGGGACAGCCCTGCGGTCGATGCCCTGCTGCAGGACCTGGGCACCCAGAAGATAACCAGTGTGGGTAGGTGCCTTGCCGTGCGTGCTACGGGTGCATGATTGGCATGCGACGGGGCTGGGGGATGTGCCCCGGCTGCAGCATCCCCACCGGCAGGTCCGGAGGAGGGACAGGTGGCGTTAGGCCACGGGCAGGTGAGGGGACGTGCACTCGCCTTCCCCCGCTGAGGAGGGCACAGCTTCCCTCACAGCAAAGAGGGGACACCTCAGGGGCTGTGCCCTCCCTCCACGTGGGGGCTCAGGAGCACCCAGCGCTGCCTGGGTTGGGCGGCTCCCGAGCTTAGCCATGCTCTGCCCTTCCGTATGGATGGTGATCCGGGCTCCGTGGTGCAGGTGCAGCCCTGCACTCTGGTTGGCAGGCAGCCGCCCTGAGCACCTTGGGATCTGCTGAATCGGACAGAAAGGGCAGCAGTTTCTGGTTCCGGGAAAGCGTGTCAGCAGTGGTGTCTGCTGTGCGGAGGTCTGAGCCTTTGATCTCAGCCTCGACAAGGCCCAGTGTCTGCAGGGGGCTGGGCGGATCCCTGGGCGGGAGCACTGTCCTGGCGGGTGCCAGCCTAGGGCTCTGAGTGAGGTCTCCACGCTGTGCACAGGCAGCAGTCCCGGTGCTGGAAGGGCGCCTGTCGCCGGGGTCTGTCCTGTTGCTGACCGGGCAGTTAGGTGCAGCCTCTGAGACAGTCAGGTGAGCCCCACGTTCTCTGGATCTGCTCCGACTCTGCCCGGCCTGAGCTGCTTGCTAAGGGGAGGCAGCGGGGCGGCTCCTCCCAGCATGAGAGGCTCACCCTGAGCAAGCAGTGGTCTCCTTTCTTAGCGTGCTGCCTGGAGGAACCCTAGAGCCACTCCCTCGCCCAGCGCCGCCCCGCCTCCCTGCTGACCCTGCCGGTCAGGGCTCGACCTTGCTGGGCAGCAGCGAAACAACGGTGGGGATTGTCGGGGAGCACCTCCGCCGGGTGCCCATTCCTCTGAGAGGAGTGGCTAATGGGAGACGACCAGTGTCCTGCCACCTCCTCCATCTACTCCGCAGACTTCCGTGGGCGCCACCTGCATTCGGGCCCATCCTGGTGGCCCACCATGTCTAGGGCAAATGCAGGTCAGGGTCAGGGTCAGGGCTGCGAGGGTGCAGAGGCTGGGCCACCTCAGCCTCAGAGAGCAGACGCCTCCCGCCCTCACTGGACGCTCTTGGTGCAGAGGGCAGGGCTCCAAAGCCAAGGGAGCTGCGGGGGAGGAGGGGCAGCTGTGACGGGGGCACTGCTGGGTGGGGGCACCTCCAGGGCTCACAGGAAGCTTTGCTGACCCTGGGCACCCTCCTCCTCTCAGCCCTGCAAGGGCCTGGCCTTGGGGTGCCCCCGCCCCAGGGTTCTGGCTGAGGGTGCCCTGGGGAGAGTGAGTCCCTGCCCATCGGGGTCCTGGGCTGTCTGAGCTGATCTACTCACCCCAACTACATGGACTAGCTGGTCCTCCCCTGTCTGTTCCTGGGGCAGTGGGTCCGTCGGAGCCGGGGCGGGTCAGTCAGGGTCACTCTGCAGGTGCTAATTGGTCCACAGGTGTCACCAATGGGACTGGGTGCCCTGCCCCAGCAGAACATGGGCCCGGTTCTGCCAGTCGCCAGCCACAGTAGTTTGGACACAGGGACTGACCTCTGGTGCTCATGGGGCACCGGGTGGTGATAACCTGGACGTAACCTCCAGCTGGCAGATGTGAAATCCAAGCAGCCCATGGACAGCAAAGGCCTGGCTCAGCCTGACTGTGGGGAAAGCCGGAGCCAGAGCTGATGAGATGTTGTCTCACGCACAGTGCGGTCAGGGTGAGTCTTGGCTCTGCCCAGACCCAGGCAGCTGAAATTTCCGAAATCCCGAGCACAAACACGTCTGCCTGAGAGATGGTGAAGGACGTGAATCTATGGAACATACATCACGGGGTCATCGCGAGGCCCATGAGGAAAGGATAGATGAGAACAGCTGGGCCGTGTCCCTGCGGGGCGGGTCTCGTGGAGTGATCTCTGTGGGGGGCCTGACCCCTCACCCAGGACTGCCCTGGGGAAGGGCCTCGGCCAGAAACTTGCCCCCTCTCCCCGGCCCTGCTGCCTGGGCCTGGAGGTGCTCCAGGGCGGGTTCCTGTTTGTGAAAAGCCCCCTGCGCCCGAGGAAGCAGAGCCCTCCCCCTGTGAGCACCCAGGGGTCCAGAGACCAGGGGTCCAGGCTGCCTCTGCGGGGATCAGAGAGGAGCTGCCCAGGGCCAGGTGTCTCCCATGACCCCACCCTTCCTGGGAAGTCGCCCCCACGTCCACTGGACATTTGGAAAACCAAGATGCTTGAGACCTAGCCGGGCCCTCACATAGCGGGTCCTGCCGGGCAGGTGTGGAGATGGGGTCCCCGGATGTGAGGGTGTCTGGGTGGGGGCTGCCTGCTGCTGGGGCTGCCTGGCATTGCTGTGGCCGAGGGGGCTGTGGCTTGGAGGCCCCATGCGGATCCTGGATGGCACCTCCTTTATGGGAGTCCAGAGCCTGCCGGGATTTAGGGTTCGAATCCCCGTCCTCCTGGGCATGAAGTGGAAGGACAGGAAGCCAGTCCCAGAGACCGCAGTGCGGGCGGAGAAAGGATCTTGGTTTAAAGATCCAGAAACCCAGCCACTGGCTGCCGCCCTGCAGGTCGGGAAACAGCCTCCGGGAGGGGGCGGCCTAAGGATGGACCTCCCTGTGTGCGGCAGGCGGTCACTCCAACGTCCCGCGTTCACGTTATTACTCCTGAACCCCGTGTTCTTTGGGGGAGTGATTCCTGTGACGTTCGTGACACTTTCTCACCGAGGACCCCCAAAGTCGCCCACGGAGAGCCACTGGCCGCTTCAGAGGCGCGTGAGGCCTGTGGGCTGTGTTCGTGGCCAGGCTCCTGGCTCCAGGCAGCATGGCCGCCTTCGAAGGCTCAAGACGTCGTCTCTGTTCAGCTTGGACTTGGCGTGCAGCACCTCCCATCAGCGCGAAAGAAATCGCCGCCCTGCACGGGCACGGATGCAAAGGATCAATGACACAGTTAATGGTTCTGATCTTGGAATGACGTAGAAAGGAGAAGCCGCGTGGCCGGAGGGGACTGGAGCGGCCTCTTGCTGGAAATGCCGACGGGTCAGGACAAGCCCTCGCTGGTCCCTGACCATGGAGAATGCTCCCCACCCTGGGGACAAAGTCCTGGGTGCTGGTGGAGGCAGCGGGGTCAGGGTTAAACGGCTAGAGGAATGGGCTGTGTTGGGACAGCTGCTGCCCTGGGTGCCTCCTTCCAGCACCAGGCAGGCCACAGGGCGCCTCCCGTCCCCAGTGAAAGGCGGCCGTGAGCCCTGGGGCCTAGAGCCAGACCCCCAGGCCCAGCGCGGGGGGCCCGTAAATCGTCCGCGAGGTGACTGAGCTGAACGTGGAGAAGGCAGCAACTAGCGCGAGCCCCTCAGCGTCCTCCAGCCTCTGGTCCACGGTCAAGAACAAATGCCCAGCCTGGTCGGCGTTGAGCATTGACCTATGAACCAGGAGGACATGGTTCGATTCCTGGTCAGGGCACATGCCCAGGTTGGGGGCTTGATCCCCAGTGAGGGTCTAGCTGGAGGCAGCTGATCCTTGATTCTCACTCATCAATGTTTCTGTCTCTCTCCCTCTCCTATCCTCTCTGAAATAAACACAAATATGTTTAAAACAACAAAAAGAACAAAAAGCCCTGGCGGCGCTGACCGGGCGTCCCCGCCCTGCACCTGCTCGCTCCCTTAGCGCAGACGGCAGCTGTGGCCCTGAACTCAGCGGGAGGGTGGGGGTGGGGGTGGAAGGGGGGGTGTTCCAGTTGTTCCTCAGATCCGGGGAGGAGCTGGTTTCCACCCGGCAGTGCGCTCAGTTCCCTTTAAGTAAAAAATTTTCAGAACAACAGTGAGCCACCTTCCAGGAAAGTGGGCACCGAATGGCAGTGATTTCAGCTCCGCCTTCCGAGGGGTGGGTGGTGCCTAAAGTTAGCAGCGCTGGCAGGTCCAGGTTGGTTAGTGGTCACGGGCACCTCGTTGCCGGTGAGCCGTGAATTGCAAAGCATCGTGAGACCTATGAACGCGTATTAACATGTACCATTAATGATACGTGTTGATGATGACCATCAATCCATGTTAATTGCTAACGTGTTACACGCAGTTGGGGATGTGACCTGAGGGTTACCAGGAATGACTGTGCTGGACGGAGGGTCTGTGACCAGAGGACTGGAGAGCAGGGTGCACACAGGAGCAACGCAAAGGGGTGGCTGAGGGTGGGTGAGAAAGAGCCGGCCTGGATGCCCGGGTGCCCTGTTTGCTGGCAGCTGGATGGAGGCTGGGAGATGAAGAGCAGGTGGCAGGTGATGGGGAGCGGTCAGCGAGAAAGACTTCCAGGGCCATGGCCGCGGGATGTGCCTGGCCTGTCCCTGGGGGGCCCTTCAGTCCCCAGGGCTGAGGTCACTGTCCACGGGGCCCTGGAGCCCACCCCGGTGAGGGCCCTGGCAGCTCCGCCCCAGGCCTTCGCCCGCACATCTGGCTCCCCCTGGCATTGGCCTCTGCTCTCGGGACAAGGTTTCCTGAAGTCGCCAGCCTCGGTCTGTCTGGGAGAGGAAACCCCAAACCCACCTACCCACCCTCATCACGCCGGTCTGTGCCCAGCTCCGCTGCTGTGGCCCTCAGCCCAGCCACCTCCCGGGGCCCAACCTGCCAGGGAGAGCGGGCTGCTAATCTGGGCACAGGATCCTGACACCTGCCTCTGCCCAGCCAGCCTTTGTCAGGACACCAGGCGGTGAGAGTGGTTTGCAGGGAGACAATCCCTGATTTCAGAGCAGAATTTGAAATGTCTTTCCTCGTGGCCCCAGCATGGCCACGTGAGAGGTGGATGCCGTGGGAAGGCAGCCCCAGAGGAGAGGAAGGTGGTGTCCGGGATGGGGTGATAGCCGGCATTTCTGGAGTCCTCGGTGGAGTTGAACGCCTTTTAACTTCTAACTAGTGTCCTGGAGTATGGGTTCATGCACATTGAAAGGAAATTAGTTAGAAGGAATATTTTAACTTCACTACTCGCCCTTTCTCTATAATAGAAGTGTCAACCAAATTCATGGTCAACAATGACAGATCGAAAAAAACTGTGTCTGTGAGTAGGTGTGTGTGGGTGTCAGGTGTGAGTAGGTATGTGTGGGTGTCAGGTGTGAGGGGTGTGTCTGTGTGAGCAGGTGGGTGTCAAGTGTGAGGGGTGTGTCTGTGTGAGTAGGTGTGTGTGGGTGTCAGGTATGTGTGGGTGTCAAGTGTGAGGGGTGTGTCTGTGTGAGCAGGTGTGTGTGGGTGTCAGGTGTGAGGAGTGTGTCTGTGAGTAGGTGTGTGTGGGTGTCAGGTGTGAGGGGTATATCTGGGGCAGGAGGCACTGCTGGCAGGTGTGTGCACCAGCCGTTCCAGAAGCTGGTCCCTCTGTCTGTGGGTTGGCCTGGAGAGAGGTTCTGCCCCGATATCTGAATGGGGAGGAGGGCGTGTCGGCATGAGGAACCCCAAACTTCCAGGCAGAACGGGGGCCCAGGCCGTGCCCAAGGCCCGGGCCGTGAGGTCTGCTTGGGGAGCAGAGGGTTGGGCAGCAGGTGACCCTGTATCTTTGCTTCCCTGCAGCCATGAAGTCGGGGGGCACTCAGCTCAAGCTCATCATGACGTTCCAGAACTACGGGCAGGCCCTGTTCAAGCCCATGAAGTAAGTGTGGGCACCAGCAGCAATGGGGAGAGAGCGGGAGGGGGCACGAGGTGCAGAGGTGGTGCAGAGGGGGTGTAGAAGGGGTGCAGAGGGAGTGCGGAGGGGGTGTAGAGGGGGTGCAGAGGGGACACGAGGTGCAGAGGGGGTGCAGAGGGGTGCAGAGGGGGTGTAGAAGGGGTGCAGAGGGAGTGCGGAGGGAGTGTAGAGGGGGTGCAGAGGGGACACGAGGTGCAGAGGGGGTGCAGAGGGGGTGTAGAAGGGGTGCAGAGGGAGTGCGGAGGGGGTGTAGAGGGGGTGCAGAGGGGACACGAGGTGCAGAGGGGGTGCAGAGGGGGTGCAGAGGGGGTGTAGAAGGGGTGCAGAGGGAGTGCGGAGGGGACACAAGGTGCAGCAGGGGTGCAGAGGGGGTGCAGAGGGGACACAAGGTGCAGCAGGGGTGCAGAGGGGGTGCAGAGGGGGCACGAGGTGCGGAGGGGTGCAGAGGGGGTGTAGAGGGGGTGCAGAGGGGACACGAGGTGCAGAGTGGGTGCAGAGGGGGTGCAGAGGGGGTAAAGAGGGGACACAAGGTGCAGCAGGGGTGCAGAGGGGGTGCAGAGGGGGCACGAGGTGCGGAGGGGTGCAGAGGGGACACAAGGTGCAGAGGGGTGCAGAGGGGGTGCGGAGGGGGTGCGGAGGGGGTGCAGAGGGGGTGTAGAGGGGGTGCAGAGGGGACACGAGGTGCAGAGGGGTGCAGAGGGGGTGCAGAGGGGGTGCGGAGGGGGTGCAGAGGGGGTGTAGAGGGGGTGCAGAGGGGACACGAGGTGCAGAGGGGTGCAGAGGGGGTGCAGAGGGGGTGCGGAGGGGTGCAGAGGGGGTGTAGAGGGGGTGCAGAGGGGACACGAGGTGCAGAGGGGTGCAGAGGGAGTGCGGAGGGGGTGCGGAGGGGGTGCAGAGGGGGTGCAGAGGGGGTGCGGAGGGGACACGAGGTGCAGAGGGGTGCAGAGGGGGTGCGGAGGGGGTGCAGAGGGGGTGCAGAGGGGGTGCAGAGGGGGCACGAGGTGCGGAGGGGTGCAGAGGGGGTGCAGAGGGGGTGCGGAGGGGACACGAGGTGCAGAGGGGTGCAGAGGGGGTGCGGAGGGGGTGCAGAGGGGGTGCAGAGGGGGCACGAGGTGCGGAGGGGTGCAGAGGGGGTGCAGAGGGGGTGCAGAGGGGGTGCAGAGGGGACACAAGGTGCAGCAGGGGTGCAGAGGGGGTGCAGAGGGGGCACGAGGTGCAGAGGGGTGCAGAGGGGGTGCAGAGGGAGTGCGGAGGGGGTGCGGAGGGGGTGCAGAGGGGGTGCAGAGGGGGTGCAGAGGGGACACGAGGTGCAGCTGGGGTGCAGAGGGGGTGCAGAGGGGGCACAAGGTGCGGAGGGGGTAAAGAGGGGACACAAGGTGCGGAGGGGTGCAGAGGGGGTGTAGAGGGGGTGCAGAGGGGACACGAGGTGCAGAGGGGTGCAGAGGGGGTGCAGAGGGGGCACAAGGTGCAGCGGGGGTAAAGAGGGGACACAAGGTGCAGCAGGGGTGCAGAGGGGGTGTAGAGGGGGTGCAGAGGGGACACGAGGTGCAGAGGGGTGCAGAGGGGTGCAGAGGGGTGCAGAGGGAGTGCGGAGGGGGTGCGGAGGGGGTGCAGAGGGGGTGCAGAGGGAGTGCGGAGGGGGTGCGGAGGGAGTGCGGAGGGGGTGCAGAGGGGTGCAGAGGGGTGCAGAGGGAGTGCGGAGGGGGTGCGGAGGGGGTGCAGAGGGGTGCAGAGGGGTGCAGAGGGGTGCAGAGGGAGTGCGGAGGGGGTGCGGAGGGGGTGCAGAGGGGGCACGAGGTGCAGCGGGGTTCAGAGGGGAACTGGGCTGGGCTGGGGCTGTCCACAGGCACCAGGGTTGGTGGAAGGTGCACTGTGTCCTCCCGTAGTGTTCTGGGGTGACCTCAGCGACTGCTCCCAGCTTTCTCCCCACTGCCTGCTGTCCCACCCTCATCCCTGTTGCCCAGCGGGAAACCCACTGCTGCTCTGTCTGCCCCTTGGAGGGAGGACCCCAGTCCCTCACGGCTCAGGGTCAGCAGTGCCCTGTAGGGCCAGGGTGGGCGAGTCGGGGTCTGCAGGCCATGTGGTCTGTGTCCAGCTGCTCGGTGCTGCCCACCACGAAGGGCCTGGCTGTGCTCCAGCTTCAGCTGCCGCCCCATGGCTGTGGCTTGTCCTGCTCCCGGAAATGGGAATGCTGCCGCCACGTGAACGTGGGCACCGAACGGCCCTGCAGACCCATGGCCGCCTGGCCGCCCCAAGGGGACCCATTAAACGGTTAAATCCACGACAAACAGTCTAATGAACAACTGCCTTTTGTGACCGTATCCTCCTTGTAAACTTGGCAGAATGCTCTGAACCTTGGATTAGGAGAGGTGGAGCATGGGGTCTGGGATGTGTAGTTGGTGTGACTTGTGGCTGACGTGAAAGCTTAAGGGATATATACATCCAGGAGAAGTGAGGGTATTTTCCCATTGATTTTTTTTAAATAGCAGAAGGGAGGGGGAAAGAGAAAAACATCGATGTGAGAAAATCACATTGCCTGGTTGCCTCCCACAGGCACTCCAACTGGGGGGCTGGGACCGGACCTGCAACCCAGGTACATGCTTTGACCAGGAATCAAACCCAAGGCCCTCTGGTGCTCAGTTTGAAGCTCCAACAACTGAGCCATGCCGGCCGGGTGGATCATATATTTTTAATAGGCACCGAGAAGCTTATAATTAACATGTTAGCCCAGGAATTCCTGAATATTATAAGATTTTTTAATAGCTTTCTCAAGATACTAGGGGCCCGGTGCACGAATTCCTGCACCTTGAAAGGAACTGTGGGCCTCAAGGTCTCCGCCCATCCTCTGTGCCCCACCCTGGCGCCCGGTCTCCTGTCTGCCAGCAGCCCTGCTCCCACCGCCGCTGCTCCCACAGGCTGACAGCACCAGCCCCGCTTGCACACACTGATGGCAGAGCAATTGGGGCTGGGCCAGCAGCGGCTGCTGCCCCGATCTCCCCTCAGGAGCAGGGGGAGGTGGAGAAGCCCTCAGGGGCTATTGGTACCAGCAGCCACTAGTGGTTTCTAGTGCTCTCTAATGGCTTCTCTCCCTCGAGGCTCCTTGAGTTGTGGCAATTGCCAGGGCCTAGCTCCTATTTCTTAAAAATATATATTTTTATTGATTTCAGGGGAAGAGAGAGGGAGAGATAGAAACATCCATAATGAGAGAGAATCATGGATCGGCTGCCTCCTGCACACCCTCTACTGGGGATCAAGCCGGCAACCTGGGCATGTGCCCTTGACCGGGAGTTAAACTGTGATCTCCTGGTTCATAGGTCGATGCTTAACCACTGAGCCATGCCCGCCAGGCCTGATGCCTTTTTAAGGTGGAACAGTATTCCATCGTGTGACCGGGTCACAGTTCATACCTCTGCACCAAGGGCACTTGGGCTCTTCCCACTGGTTGGCCTTAAGAATAACGCTGCTGGGAACATCCACATACCAGGTTTGGGTGGATGTGTGTTGTCATTTCTTCTGGGTAAATGCCCGGGAAGGCAAGCGCCGGGCACGTAATAACTACCTTGACCTGCTCGGAACTGCGACTGCCCTCCACAGCAGTTACCAGCCCCAGCCGCCGGCAGCCTCGCTCCGGAGACACTGGTGATTACCGAGCCCTGGATTCCCGCCATCCCGGCGGGCGGGGCGTCTGAGGGCTGCCTGGCGTCTCCAACGGCGATGACGTGCACTGCTTCCATGCCGTGGTGCCGTCTCTGTCTTCTTTGCAGAACCGTCTGTTGAGGTCTCTTTTTCTTAGTTGTTTTTGTTAAGCGGCTGTGAGAGTTCGTCATGTATTTCAGACACCTGTGTGCTGCTGTCCTTTCTAATTTTCAGGATGTCCACTTACCTATTTTGTTGTTCCTTGTGATTTTGGTGTAACATTTAACACACCAGTTTTGATATTGAAAAATAGGTAGCAGTGCAGGCACCGTGTGTAAGCGTGTATCTGTATGTAACAGTGCAGGCGCCGTGTATAAGTGTGTATCTGTAGATAGTGGCACAGGTGTCGTGTGTAAGCGTGTATCTGCAGGTAGTGGCACAGGTGCCGTGTGTAAGCGTGTGCCTGTAGGTAGTGGTGCAGGTGCCGTGTGTAAGTGTGTGCCTGTAGGTAGTGGTGCAGGTGCTCTGTGTAAGCATGTGCCTGTAGGTAGTGGTGCAGGTGCTGTGTATAAGTATGTGCCTGTAGGTAGTGGCGCAGGTGCTGTGTGTAAGTATGTGCCGGTAGGTAGTGGCGTAGGTGCCGTGTGTAAGTGTGTGCCTGTAGATAGTAGTGCAGGTGCCGTGTGTAAGTGTGTGCCTCTAGGTAGTAGTGCAGGTACTGTGTATAAGTGTGTGCCTGTAGGTAGTGGCGCAGGTGCCGTGTGTAAGTGTGTGCCTGTAGGTAGTAGTGCAGGTACTGTGTGTAAGTGTGTGCCTGTAGGTAGTGGCGCAGGTGCCGTGTGTAAGTGTGTGCCTGTAGGTAGTGGTGCAGGTGCTGTGTATAAGTATGTGCCGGTAGGTAGTGGCGTAGGTGCCGTGTGTAAGTGTGTGCCTGTAGGTAGTGGCTCAGGTGCCGTGTGTAAGTGTGTGTCTGTAGATAGTAGTGCAGGTGCCGTGTGTAAGCATGTGTCTGTAGGTAGCAGGGCAGGTGACTGTGTGGCTGCCCTTTGGTATGGTGTCCCCACCAAGTGCGGGGGCCAGGCAGCCTTTCTGTGGCCTTGGGTCCAAGCCTTCTGCGTGCCAACACGTGCTGGCGGCCAGTGGCCACAGAGGGCATGTGGCGGCCTAGCGCCTGCCCCTCCTTCCCTCCTTTTCATTCCGAACTCAGGCCGCTCTGCTGGTTGTGACCCTGCACACACACCACCCCTTGAGCTGCTTCCGGGCTCCATGTTGTTGTCAGGACTGGGCAGTGGCTGCTCCGGGCGTGGCAGGTGGCGGGGCTGGTGGCT